TACAGTGTTAGGGTAGAGAAAATTGTTTTGTTTTTAATTATGCACAAAGCTTCACAAGGGCTATCTGTGCTCTGCCCACCACAGGTATCGAAACCCTGTTTCTAGCGTTGTAAGTCCGCAGACATACCGCTGTGCCACTGGGGGGCTGTAGAGAAAATAACCGATAGAATATAAATTTTACTGAAAACATCTTACTTTTCATTTGAAAAGTTCTAGAGGTTACGCAAATGAAAATTGAAACTGTAAGATCAAAAAGTATTTTTAATCTTAACATGAAAATCACTTTGCACTCTGACTCCATAAATTCACAGAAAAATCCGTAGTATGCAATTACAAAATCTAATTTTGTTCAGTACGAAAGACATGTATTGTTTACTAAAATCTTGCCAAATCTGGTGAAGTTGCACTTACTACATTAATAGTATGCATACTTTCACGGTTACCTTGTGGTTGCAAAATCAATCAAAATGGCCGAACCCGTATACAACCAGTTGCATAAGATATTTAGAATTTGTGTAAAATTTCCTAGTTTCACGTTTCTATGTGAACTTGTTTATTGTCTCCCAGTTTTTGACAAAATAATGTGAAATTCTTGACCTCCATAAACGAAGGAGTAAAATAATTCGAAATCATTTTGAAGGACCGATAAAATGGTGTTCCCCATCAGGATAGATTACTGTAGCAGGAAATATGTTAAAGTTAGCGACAGTGATCGTTTCTTATAGTAAACAGGGTCATTTCCCGAGGACTTGGCACCCTCTTGTTGATTGAGGGTGGCCCTCAGTCACGTAGATAGGAATGCGCCAAGAGTGTGTGTGTGTATTTTTTCTTTGTTTTTCAGATTTTAGGTATTTCAGTTCAGGTTTTAATTTAGATTATTTTATATGAGGGCATTTTAAGGGTTAATTCACTTTTACTACTTATTTTCTCGTTTAGCTTGACTTTAAACCAAGAATGTTGTGAGAGAATTGATAAAGTTCTCTCTACATCCCTATCTCGTTCTCTCCAGTTTTTCACAGAATACTAGCTACACTTACCTGTGTTGAGAGAGACTTAATAAATGTTCCTTTCTCTCCCCAATTCTTCATAGATTTGTGTTTGACAAATAAAGGTTGTTGATATATAGAAATTTTCTACGGTTTATTTTTTTGAGTCAGACTCAATTGAAAGTCAGAGGTTTGTTATATGATATGGTATCCAATGGATCCTACCAGCTTACTCTGAGTGAAGCTGAGAATACCTCATGAGTGTGAACCATTCGACTGAATATTCAGTATGTGAAAAATAGTACCCGAATTCAATTTGTAATCTAGATCAACACAGTTCTTCATCACCTTGGCGCATCATGGTTTTTCGTTCATGAGAGTTAACAACTTGCAACCAGGATTTTATTTCAATCCACTAATTTCTAAATGATGTTAAAGTTTAACTTATCTTACAAATTAAAATACTTATAGTTTCAAAAGTTATTATAAAAATAGAATATGCAATAACTTTTTGCCTTATTTGTAGAATTATTTAGAAACTTACCTAAATCTGTTAATTTAACTCTTCTATATAGAACATATATAACACAGAAAATTTTAGGCATAATAATATAATATATAGGAGTTCTAGAACAAAGTTGTGTCTTATTAAACTATTTCTAAGGATATAAGATGATACCAAAATATATTTATAATAATTACTGTCAGAGAACTTAGTACCCGTGTGTCAGTAGTACGTTTGCGCACTTAAGAAGCAAAATCCGGGGCTCGTTTTCACAAAGTGAACAAATGCAGATAGCCCATTGTGTAACTTTGTGCTAAACAGAAAACAGAGAACTTCTGTATTTTGGATAAGAAAATGACATTTTTTTTCTTTTTTTAAATAATATTTTATTGTTACTATATAAAATAACTAAAAATAAATCCAAAATAATTGAGCTTTAATAGCTGGGGGACATCGTCGCCTATTGTCTACTGCTTGCAACTCGTAGTTATAAGATTGCAAGTTCGAAACTTGTTCACGACATGTTGTAGTCTTCTTCAACAAAATACTTTACCCCTTTTGATTTAGTCTATCCACAGGTACCAGCGAGTAGCTGTGATGGATTAGTATCCTGTCGCAACATTCTCACCCACTTATGTTATTGATAATGTAACTTAGCACCAGTTCCTATGTGCCATCTTGGAATGGTATGGTGTCATCTGCAAATCAAGAAGTCAATATAACGCTTCACGTGCATAGGCTGAGTGTGTACACCAAAGAGTACTAATAGGTTTATGATTGAATCTAAACTGTGTCTTTTATGTATATTATAATGACTACTTAGGAAATAACACAAAATAAGTGTAAGTAGTGATATTAGAGATAAATATTCAGCTATCTAACAATGACTTTTTCCCTAACGTATATACATTTCTTTCATAAATTTTGAAAGTTATGGCTTAGGAAGAGCTCAAGACCCTAAAGCTCTCCTCCTCATTGGATGCATCCTCGAAACTAGAATAGCTCTCTCTAATAAATTAACACACTGGCAAAAATTTCATTTTTTTTTCTTTTACGACCAAAAATTACATTATGGCAGAAGATAAAAAAATACATTTGTTAAAATAAAAATGTTAAAATAATACAAAAGTTTTTCGTGAGAATTTATTTCATCTAGTTTCACCGTTGTTTTAAACCTCTTGTTAAAAATATAAAAGCAGGATCGTTGCTTAATTCCTGAAAGAAAAAAGTACTGGATCTCTATTGACTCATGTGTGTGTGTGTTGGGGAGGCGGGAGGATTTGTGGTTTGGAAAATAACAATGTAGACATTATTGCGGCTAATATTTTGGATTGGGCGTGAGAAGTAATGTCGTTAACTTTAACAACATCAGTTCAAACATCCGTTAGTAATGAAACTGGAGCAGTCTTAAAATTGATTATGGTGTTTCTGCTTTTAGGTTTAAAAAATAAAGCAAAAATCCAAAACAGGTTTCTAATTTCAGATCTGGAGAGATTCCTTCTGAAATTCGGCAATGTTTGAAGCGAACTGAACAAGATTAAAATTATTTTGATAATTTCATATCCTAACGTGAATATCAATTATAGGAGCAACTGTTTTCATCTTCTCCAATCCAAAGTAATTCGTGATTTGAAATATTCAGATCTAGTCTCTATCTGGAGACGGAGGTATTATAAAGTGGTGGTATACTGAATCCTCGTTGGTAGCCTTGAACCAAAAAACAAGTACTAAATTTATTGTTCTTTTTATGTATTGTTATAAAAGTAACTAAAATGTAAAAATTAGAAACTTATTAGGTTAGATAAGGTAGAGTAGGTAATGAAAAAATTATTTACGAGGCTTGTCTGTTTGTTTGTTTTGTAATTAAGCACAAAGCTACACAATGGGCTATCTGTGCTCTGCCCACCAGTGGTTGGGTGAATACTTTTATATTACTTGATGAAAATTACGCGAATACTACTTTATTCCTTTTATAATGTTTCTACAGGCTACTTTCACTTGGCATAAGTAGTAGGAAAAATCTTGTTTTAGTACAACTAACTGTAGGTCTAGCTTCAAATACAACATATTATTATAATCTACAAGACGTACTCCTAACTTTACTAGCTCGTCTTGATAAACAAATTCATAACTCACCAACTAATTAAATGATAGTGTTACGACAGCGGAAGTTGCGTAACGCTGGGAGCATGCGAGCTGGAGTTTCTAGAATTATTGGAGAACCCCGCGAATGTTCGAGTGCTTGCTAGACGCCCTCTTTTTTTTTAGTATATAAGCCTAGCAAAGAAATTCAGCGATAGAGGCAGATAGATCGTAGAGATAGATAGATTGATGATATAGATAATTGAGTCAAGCGAACAGTAGGCACCGTCAGTAAAGTGTGTGAATTACTGTGATTTATGGCTGTGTTATAAAGTAG